CCCGAACATTTCTGATTATTAAAACATGCATTTAAGGTTATCGGCATCCATCTCAGGCTGCACAGATCTGTGTTCATCTGATGCATGTTTACCTTTTTCCCTCTTCGCTTTCATCCATCTGGAGTCTTTAGAAACCAGAACAGCAGCTTATCTCTGTAGTGGACCCTGTTGGAAATGTCAGACTTGCATTGTAAAAAAAAAAAAATACTAAAACTGAAAATCTAGCTGCAACAGAGTCAGAAAAACAAAGTTAAAAAACCTGAAAATTCAACACAGATGCAGAATATTGATGTTGTTTGTTTGGAAACCACATGTTTGGACCCCATTCAGGTTGCATATATCAGGAATATTTGTAAAAACTGGACGGATACAAGCTCATTTTAACATATGAGCATTATAGAAACACATGTTTTGTGATATCCTGTGATGCACTGATGACCATCCATCCATCCATCCATCATTATCTATACACCGCTTAATCCTCACTGGGGTCGTGGGAAGCTGGAGCCTATCCCAGCTGACTTAGGGTGAAGGCATGGACTGATGATCAGTGGTGCAAAAATATTCAGTATTCAGTATTCAAGAAGGTTAATGCAAACACAACATTTGTATCATTGCCCACAACTTAAAGTTTATCAACATCTATCTGTAAAACTTAATTTATATTTTGAAAAAAAAATTTTTTTTTGTTGAATTTCAATGGATAGTTTTTGTCAGTTTCTGTAAATTATCTGTAAGATTCAAGTTTATTATTATTTATAGATTGAATTTATACACAGGAACACTTCTGATCTGGTACTAATTAATCTGTTAGTGATTAGGGACTGGCATTGCCATGATTATATCATAATTTTACGGTTTTTATTTGGGTCATTTCATCTTAAATCATCAGTTTTATAGAGCAAGTTCTGCTTGACCATCGCTAAGTTTTTACAGCATAAAATATCAACATTTCTAAAGATATTTGTGAATTTTTGTTTTGATATATCAAGTACTTGCTGAGATCAAACATCTTTTAGAAACTGATATTTTTCTTATTTCTTATTTATTCGTTTATTTTGCTGGTGCAACTTGTCGTACCCGTTAAATATGTTCTGAAAGTTCAATCAAAATACTTTTTCTTTTTTCCATTTTTGTGACAGAGCATAAACGTCTTATGTATTAAACAGAATCTTAGTTATGTGGTTTATTGTTTGTTCAATCCTTCTTAAATGTATTTTATTGAAAATAACAGCAAATATCACTAAAATAATGTTTTGTTTTTTTGTTTGATTTACATTAAAATTGTGTATTTTTGCAGCCAAACCTTCTAAAAGAAAGATTCTATCATTTCTGTGATCTTCTATATGTGATTTAACAAAACTAAAAATAAAATAATGGTAAATTTATATTTAGTTTTATTGTTAAAGAAGAGTTAAAGACAGTAAAAGAGACAGTTAAGGAATTTTAACAATTAAAAAGTTCATTTTTTGTATATTTTTAATGCTAGAAGATAAACCAGGAAGAAGCTCTGTTGCTGCTGGATGCTGAACATTTCCAGCTTAAACTGAAATCTTACTTTCTTAAATAAATAAATAAATAAATAGAAGAGTAAGATCTGTGGCAGGAGGACGAGGTGTGTAGGGACCCGTGGAGACGACCCGCCTCACATCACGGTCAGATCTGTCCACACAACTGAGAAATGTTTTGAAACGGGCCCAGCGGTTTGCTGGCCGACACATCTGTACGTGCTCTCACTGCTGATGCTGCAGCGCTGACAGAAAGCCTGACCCGGAGACCAAATCATCTTTCAAACCTCCTCTGAATTTTTTATGTCACAGGAGCTCACGTGATCGCCGCAACCTGCTAACAACACGGTGTGTCAGAACCGACCCGATCCGGACCAGAATAATGGTCAAATCAGCTGCAGCATCAGCGGCTCACCTGTTGGCCCGCAGACAGCTGCTCACGTCAAACGGCATCATCTTTAAAAAGCTGCCTGACGTCTCTGCCCTCAACTTTAAATTGCCTCATTTGCAGAATTCCAGTTCCACAGTGGTTCCCTGACAAGTTTCATTGCCTTCATCTTAACAGATGATAGATGTGAAATGACAAATGTGAAATTTGTTACAGATTATTTAATTTCTGTCCTGTGCTGTGACACAGCGTGCCGCCGTGGAAAAATGTGATTTTACTCCTCATTTGTCAGCGCCTTGGTGCCGACCCCGACGCTATTCGGGTCGCATTATCCAGCAGTGTGCAGAAATGACTTTTTTTTTTTTTTTGTAGGAAATAAATACCCTTGTGCTGGTTGACTGTGTCTGGACTCCAGTCTGTCTTTGATTTAACCCTCTAAACCCCACAAACAGTTTCTGGGTGCTTTTTATTTGCTCCTGTCACTGTGGGCTCATTTTTTACTGTAATATAAAGTCCTGCACCTCTACGGGGACCGCACAGCCGTAAAGAAGGAGGCAGAACTAAAAAAAAAAAAAAGAGAGATAAATCAGACTTGCTTTAAATATTTATTTTGCAGAAATGGTGGGAAAAAAATGTGACTGCATCAAGGAGACCATCATTTTTTGGTTTTGCAGAATCTGGTCGGATTAATTTGTGATTTTTTTTTAAAGGAGACATAGAGAATAATGTAATTTTGATTTTAAATATATATATATATATCCCAATTTTCAGCTCAATTTGCTTGTTTTTTTCTGACGGAAAGGTACACAAAAGATGTTTAAATGTCACAAATCACCAAAAAGAAAGAAATAAAAGCAGAATTATTTTTATTTATCTTGCAAAACATACAGGAATCAACATGTGCAACATTTTTCCAAGTGCCATTAAAAAACATCAACTTCACATACTATAGATTTTGAACTTTTTACATGTTTAAATGTGTTTGTATATCTGCTCCACAAACACAGCCTGCAGTTCAGCCTAATAGTCGCTGAATAGTCATCATGTCACTGTTAGTCACAGCTGAATCGCTAATAGCATCACGGTTGCACTGAGGAGTGCAGATTTTTTTGTTGCTTACAGAATCAGGTTGGTGTAAACTGTTCATTTTTGTTAGATTTTTTTAAAATGAGACACTCAGAATGAAGAGGTTTTGATGAAATATTAGAATTTTAAGCTCAATTTGGTTGTTTTTTTTCTGACGGAACGGCACACCGGAGATGCTACAATGTCATAAATCATAAAAAGGGGGAAAAAAGTAGAATTTTTTTATTTATCTTGTTGTCAAGAACTCACTGATGATAGGCAGGTAGACACAAATGCTCGACACAGATAGGGTTCAGGCATAAAGGCAGGTTTATTACCGTTCAGGGTTCGGTACACAGGAGGTCAATCAGATCAGGCAGAGGTGTCCAGAAATCGAGACGCAAAAAGGCAAGGTCCAAAAAAACAGAAACGAGGTCGTAACAAACAGACTATGACTTGACTTTGAGCGACGAGACAGTGAGACACACAGGGTCATATACACGAGGTAATGAGGGTAAATGGGAGGTAATCAGGGAACAGGTGAGACAAGACAGGTGCAGGAAGTAAAGCAACAACTGGTGAAATGACTTCAAAATAAAACAGGAAAGACGAGACATAAAACGTGCACACAAAACAGAAACTTGACGGACATTACACTTGTAGAAAATGCTGGAATCAACATGTGCAACATTTTTCAAAGTGTCCTTAAAAGGCTGACTTCACACACTGTAGATATTTTAGGTTTTGCATGTTTCATTAGTTTCTATATTTGTGACCCATCTGCATGAAATCAGTCACATTATGCCTGATG